TATATATATATATATATATATATATATATATATATATATATATATATATATATATATATATATATATATACGGAACGAAGACGATCGACAAAATGTCGCATTTGATAAGCGTGAACATGTTCGCGTTACTGTTGCGCCGCAATATTTTTTCGTATCGTTCCTTTACAGATGTTATGCAAGTATGTGTGCTACGTTGCATTTCAATTTTCTTATATATAGACGGTACGTAAATGTGAATATCACGTTGCCGATATTCATATTCTCTCCAAGAGAGCCTTTCGCTGCTTTTCTGATGAATTCTTCAAACCGCTTATATACTGCACTGAGAGAAAAAATAATTGGAATAACTATAATTTCACTATATTTTATAGTTCGTTTTGGCCTCAAACATATATTTATAGTTCATCTAAACATGAAAATATAGTAGAATAAATACAGATTTATAGTCACTATCTTATTATTCTATATATATGATAAAACACCTTTTGGGAATATAATTATATGTACCTATATTTGCCAAATATTCCAATTGCATTGACTATATAAAATAGTTAATTTCTCTTACCATTCAATATTTGCCACTTTATTACTATATTTTTTATTTCAAATAATGTTAATTCTTGGTAAAAATTTTACACGGGTCAGTTATACTATGCTTATATTGTAAATATTACTATTATGGTAACATTTACTATAAAAATTATATTCCTAACTATAATCTTTTTACTATGCCATTATAGTTCCAAATATCATACATTTTTCTCTCAGTGTGGGTGCATCAAAGAGTTTTTTCGAGAAATATGTTATAGTAATTAGAGTAATTTACAAATATTGTTTTGAAGAATATATGTTATCTAATATGTGAGCTTTCTGTATAATTTTCAATGGAAATTAAAATTCAATATTTCACTATATATTCGCAACCAATTTTATCATATAAATTGGAGCAGTAATTGCGCTGTAATTTTTGCAAAAGAAAATCAGTGTCACGATAGCAATAGTTCTACATCGTTTTCATCCCTGAGTGAGGAATGCTCTATTTCATTTTTGCATGTACCTTCACCATACAAAAGCATTTTTAATTCGATCAAGTCAATACGCATGTAGAGAGAACTAATCTTTGCAGAAAGATTCAGTGTCATGATAGTAACTGTTTCTTATCGTTTTCCTTTCATATTGAGGAATACCCTTCATTTTCGCACGTACTTTCACCATGCAAAAAGGTTTTTAACTCGGCGCATGTAGAAAAGACTAATCCTTATAGAAAGATTCGGTGTCATGATAGTAACTGTTTCTTATCGTTTTCCTTTCATATTGAGGAATACCCTTCATTTTCGCACGTACTTTCACCATGCAAAAAGGTTTTTAACTCGGCGCATGTAGAAAAGACTAATCCTTATAGAAAGATTCGGTGTCATGATAGTAACTGTTTCTTATCGTTTTCCTTTCATATTGAGGAATACCCTTCATTTTCGCACGTACTTTCACCATGCAAAAAGGTTTTTAACTCGGCGCATGTAGAAAAGACTAATCCTTATAGAAAGATTCGGTGTCATGATAGTAACTGTTTCTTATCGTTTTCCTTTCATATTGAGGAATACCCTTCATTTTCGCACGTACTTTCACCATGCAAAAAGGTTTTTAACTCGGC